CTTTTGAGCCCCTCAAAAAGATTGGCGACTTTTGAAAAAAAAATGAGATTTTGAATAAGTTCTACGAATTTGACTAAAAGTTAAAATTTTGAAAATAGATCGTGAATATAAAAAAATGTTCAAAAAAGTGAATGAATTAAAAAATGACAATTTATAAATAATTTCTTGAATTTGAAAATATCTGTAAATTAAAGAAGTTCACTGATATGAAAAATTGTTTGCAATTTTTTATGAAATGTTCATCAAGTTGAAAAAAAAATCACGAATTTGAGTGTTTTCATGATATCTAAACAATGTGAATTTAAATTTTTTTCGTGAATTTTAAATTTGTGGGAAATTAAAAATAGGAAATTTAAATTGAATAAAAACAGAAAGACTAAGGAAATGTGGAAAAAATAAAGTGGAAAAATGTAAAAAGGAAACAAAAAAGAAGAAGAAGAAAAACCGACAAAAACCAAACAAACACTAGAGAATATCCGGCATAAAAACGGGTGGGATGCACCCGGTTCCGATTGTTCTTATTTGACACTATAAGTGCCAGATAGGATTCGGCAATATGATTCCCCTTTCGATAGTTCCACCCAATTTCTTATGGGCCTTATGATGTGCTAAATAATCACACATTGTGCGAGTGACACCCGTTTGGAGACCCGGCCTACAGAGGCAAAATGGTAGAAAACACACACCGATGAACGATAGTCGGCCGGACTCATTTAGGCACGCTTTTTCCTCAACTGTTGAGCTTTCTTTTGGTTGTTGGTGTTTTATGACAATTTTTTTTTCATGGTTTTGTCCGGCTTGGTTTTATTTAGGTGTTTTTTTTCATTTCATTTATTCATGTTTATAACCTCTTATTTTATTCTTTTCAATTTTAATTCATTTTTTGCTTCCGTCACTTTAAATTCCTTGAGTTTTAAAATCATGAATTGTTTGTAAAATTCATGATGATTCTAAAATTGGTGAATATATTAAAATTCTGATAATTTTATAAAAGCTCCTCAAGTTTGTTAAAATTCATGAACATGTTTTACATTTTTGACTTTTTTTGGAATTAAGAACATTGTTTATTTTTTTTATACTTTTACAGTTAAGAGCATTTATATAAATGTGCAAATTTATTTACCAATCCATGAACATTTTTAAATTCTCAAACATTTTCTACAATTCATGACCGGTTTGCTTGTTTCTTTTGGTCCGATCGCTGGATGGAGCATGCTGCTGCGACACTCGAAAAAAAATGAGACCAACCCATGGCTAACCCGTGTTGGCTTTTTTATAGAAGAAAACTCCGCGAACACCGCGCGCTAGAGCCGAGGCTCGAGCACGGGCGGGTTGGCAGCTAACCTACCTGCCCAGCCAACGGGTCAATGCCCCGTTCTCCTACTGTGACACTTGAAATAATGTATATAAATCTTGAACAGATGTTTCCGAGCTTTAAAAAAATTTGCGAGTTTGTAAAAATGTTCGTGAGTCCAACAATATTTGCAAATTAATAAAATGTTCACAAATTCATAAAAGTTTAGGAATTTCTTCTGATGATTCAATAAATTATTTTGTATTAAGAAAATATTAAAAAATTCAAAACAATGAAAAATTGTTTGCCATTTAAAAAATGAAAATTTGAAAATTGTGTGGATTCAAAAAATGTTCGTACTTTTGAAAACTGTGTGAGAACTAGAAAAACGTGAATTTTTGAAATAATTGCGAATTCAGTTTTGTTGTGAATTTAGAAAATATTTGTAGATTTTAAACAACATTCATGGATTTAAAAATATTCATGAATTTATAGCGGTGGGAGCGTACTAGGAGGTGCTTGTTTGTGTTGTATTTGACGTGTTATGCATGCAGTAGGATCCACCGAGAAGCTCATATGTGACGCTTTTTGCATCAAGATGTCCACATTTCGCACAAGGTGATCGGGTGGACCGACTAATTTAGCGCTCAATGCGGTAGTTAGTGTTTCCTTGGACTTTTCTTTTGCCTTTTCTATATTATTATTTTTAGTCTGCTTTTATTTCATTTCTTCCAGAAAATGAATTTTTTTTTTTGAAAAGTGAACATTTAGAAAAAAACTAAACCATCTGGTAACAGTTTATAAGACATTATGTTTTTACAAAATTATGAATATTATTTAAAGACTTAAAGAATTTTTATAAAACGTGAACATTTTAAAACTTATTTCTTGATAGTTATGAAATTTATTTAAAAACTGTGTACAATTTTAGAAGAAAATAAAAATAGCAAATACAAATGAAAAACGAAAAGAAAGCCGCTAAAGAGAAGAAATAAAAAAGGAGAATGGGAAATTCCTGATGGCAACCTCTCGATTTCTTCGCCGACCAGCGCCGGAATCCGGTGGCAACCTCCGCTGCTCCCCCTTCCCCTATTCACGAACTAGTCTCCGTACGCGACCTCCTCCGCTCCTCGCCCTACCAAGTCGCAAACGGCGGCGGCGTGCGCGCCCTACGTCTACGTGGCCCCGCCTCCGCCACCGCTTCCGCCTCACCGACGTGTCAGCATCCCGTCCACAGTACCCACCTGGACGATACGCAATTCCTCCTCCTACTTGTCCGTCTTCGGCACAGCCCTTCCACCAAACTCCGCGCCCCCTTCGCCTCGCAGTAAAGCTCGTAGTGCGCGGCCATGGCGGCGGCAGGTGCCCTGGTCGTGTACCGGGCGGTGTTCGCCGCGCTCGGCTGCCTCATGGTGGGCACCCTGGTGTACACCTGCATCACCGACGGCTCGCCGTTCCGCGCCGAGCTGCTGACACCGTGAGTAACTGTTCTTTCTTTTCACCGTCGAAGAGGAAGGATTATTAATTATATGCTGATTGCTGCGGTGAATTTTGAAGAACATCTCGTTCCGGTGTGCTCCCTTGTGGATCGGTAGGAAGCTAAGCTGCTACACATTTTTTTTTCTGGGGTGGGAATAAGATATTCTTCTGAGGATTTGTTGATTCTAGTACAGCATAACCTGTGAAGTTATATGTTCAGTTATGAAGTTTAGTTTGCTCCTGAAATTCAGTTACGATATGGCTATGCAAATCTTACACAAGCTCCTGAGAAATGGTACTCTGAAAATAAATAGTGTGGAATAATGTTGAAGTAGCTCCTGAGAAATGCTACTCTTAAAACACACGGTTAGATAATGTTGTAGGCAGTGTGTTCTTGAGAGGACTGATACTTTTTAGCCAGTGAACTATTCGTCGCATCAGAATATGCAGATAATTGTTATTGTCCAATCTTATATGTTTTCAAATGATCTTCAGTTGGAAATAGTAATTCTTCCCGTGTGCAGGTGGATGGTGACAACACTGGTTGACTTTTATGTAAATATAGCAGCGATCTCGGTAAATCCTCTATCTCTGTATTTCTATTTCCTCATGCTAAGCATTTAGTTTGTTCAGATGCTATTTACAGAAAGCTTGTGATGTTTAGAATATTTGATAGTACAACAGGTGACACACATTTTCCAAGGGTGGACTACTATATAGCTATCCTTTTTATTCAATATAAATAGAACTATCGGGAAAAACATATCATGTCATTGATAGGATTCCTCGTGTCAAACTTACAATTTTCAATAATTTCCTTCTACAGATTTACTGTGTTTTCCTTTGCATCTGCATGAAAATATATTCGTAAATTCTCAAATGTGGTGCTATATCTGTAACTGCATTGCCTTTTTTTTGGCTCAAAGATTGATGATTATGCATGTGTTGCAACTCAGAGATGAAAGTAAATAGTAGCACAGACTACCCTGCATCACTGTATCTTAATTAATGTTATCCTTGACACACTGTTTGGAGATTGCACAGATTCGTATTGATCCTTAGATCCTTATGGCATATATCACCAAGAGGACAACATGTTTGCACGGCTAGCTTTGGAGAGAAGAGAATTAGAGATTGGGATGTCCATGAATTTGATGTTTCTTTTTGTTGATGTAGATGACAGCCTTTATATAAGAGTGCCCAAACAATTGAAGTAATTAATGCATAACATATCCAATTAATATAGTTAACAATAATCGCAGCTACGAGATGAGATGTGCAGTCCAGCTAACTAAATTGCCAACTCCCTAACCAAGCTAGGAGGCATATTGTTTAAAAAAAAGCTAGGAGACATTCTTCTAACCATGTTTGCATGACATTTTGCATCAATTCCTGCCTGTGCGCGAAGTAATAAATTGTCAAAGCCTGTATTTTTCTGTTTCATTCAAACTAGCTATTCTGCTTGATTCAAACAGAGAATTTCCGGAGTCCACATTTTATATATGTCAACTTGAGGTGTTGCTAACATATCCAATCAATGCATCGAGATGTTTTCCTCGCGTTTTCTGAAAAGGATGCTTGGTTCTGCGGGGATTGAGCACTGAATGTTGGCTTAGTTTTGCTATCGGTCTACAGAATGTGGACATAGACACACTGTTTTCAACTTTGGATTGAGATTGAACTGTTTCTTTCATTTATGGTCTTTCAGACATGGGTTGTCTACAAGGAAGGAAATTGGATTAGTTCAATATTCTGGGTAGTACTGTTGGTTTGTTTCGGCAGGTATTCTATTCTGCAAATAATCTATTATCCTCTTGATTTATTATGGCTTGTTCACAGTTCTGTTTGACTGGAGGTGCTCTAATCCACTTAACGTGATGATATTTTTTCTTTCACTTTTTCAGTGCCACTACATGTGCTTATATTGTTAGCAAGTTATTTGAGATAACATCTTCAGGGCTTTCCCAAAATCCACTTGATCTTTTGTTGCTCAGGTATATAATCAAATTCTTTTCCATTATATGCAGGATACCGATTCATTTGGATCAACTATTTTCTTGACATCATAATAGAAGATTTAATAACTGCAACTATGGAAAAAACTGCATTAATCAACACTCGTTAACATTTATCGATAATTCATTTGAGCTTTGACGGTATTCCTTTGCATCATGGATTATTGATACTTATTCTGTTTATTTTGCTTGCATTAGTCAATTCTTATGCCATTATTGTACACTGTGATGATAGTTTCTGAGCTCTTGTACTTATTCTGAACTTCTAGTTCCCTGTCCTTGCACGTAAAGGAATACTAATACATTATGTCAAGAAGACATCATTTCCACATTAAATGACTAGCTTTGTGTTATGTGAACAAAATGAGCATCTGGAGTCACCTTGTTGGTACAATGCCTGCAAAATTCTAGTGTGCCACAGTTGGTCACTACTTTTCACTACATGAATAAGGAGGAATGAAGATTACTGCACTATGGCACGTCAAGATGAAATGAAGAGAAACAAATTTTAGCTCTTCTATTTCCTGCTGACGCTTATCTCAAACTTTAATGGATTAAGACATCTCTTTTTTCAGGCAAGATAATCTACCCGAAAGGAAGTGTTCTTTTGTCGTCATCGGGAGAACTATTTTCAGCATTTTGGGCATACTCATGGCTGCACTTGTCACGTATACTGTCATTACAGATGGACTGCCTTTCAGGAAGGATTTGTTGACACCGTAAGTGAATATATTCATAATTCGCATCCGTCAGTTTCTTAGAACTGTCGTTCTGATGTATTGTGTGTCCAGTTAGATGTAGCAGATAAAAGACTGAAGGTAGCAATCAGATACTAGACTACAGTACCTTAGAATAGACAAAAGCCCTAGATAGTTTCAAAACATAAAGTAAGCATGAGATATAGGAATCGTGCTAGAAGCACATCTATGCTGAAGTTGCAGTTAGGAGTTAATTTTAATGCTCACGTCCATGAGTACCTAGCTGTGTTACTCAGTAAGTTGTAACACAGTACTACCTGGCACTCACCATAGTTGTGGACAAGACTAGGAGTCCATCCACAAAAGAAAGAGAATCGTTAGAGGCATGACCCAAGTAAATATTGTAATGGTACTTACATTTGTGAATATGTTCCATTGATTTAAAAATTTAGGTACTCCTAACTAGATATATTTTCTCATTCACTATGCAAACTCTGATTATTTTTTTTGGTACTTTTGGTTGGATTACCTAATTTTACTGATGTTAACAATTGGAAAACTGAACTTCACAATTTTCTTGTGCACAGGTGGATGGCTGCAACCTTAATTGACTTCTATATAAACGTCTTTGCAATATCGGTGAGAAATCTTCAAATCTTAGTGGTTGTTCAAAGCAATTAGAGTTTATTTCATGGAGTTACGCATACCTTAACCTGACTCACAAAAGTACATTTCTAAGGGAAGTTTCCAAACTACACATTCTGTGACATACCTGTCAAAATGGCACCCGTATTCTGTCAAAAATGAAAATAAGAATGGAACATACTAAATTCCTGTTTGAACCTTATCAGCAGGGTGAACATATAAGCGGTAATGGTAATATAGCGCCTACTGCTAGCTGACACTGCTAAAGTGGTATGTACAGGGCTAAGATACTTAGTCCCACACAGTGCTACTCTGTAAAGATGATGATCCATCACTTGCCCGTTTGGGTGGTGTGGCAGCTTCATCCCAAACACCAAATGGTAGAAATAACCATGTGTTGTTTCAACATGGATGCGCTCATATAGTCTGTTGACTTGAATCGATATTCACTGTTTGGTGTTAAGGTGTATCAAAGAAAGTGTACTTTTTTTAGTCTTTTCTTTCTCAAAATTTCTGTTTGTGGCAGTTTCGCCAAAGCATACATAGCTTCATGTCTTCATAAATGCACTGTCATTCATATTTCAGCTTGTGCAGCGGATGAAATAATGTTTTCCCTATTAAAACTACTAGTATTGGTTCTGTTGTTATTTGGGTTGCCCATTAAACTTGGTTCTAAATCCTGATCATGCGATGGTATTTAGTTCATGTCAATGGTAAAAAAAAAGAGTAGTTGTATTTTGTTGTCAAATCATATTCCACTAAATTTAATCTATAATATTTTCTGCATATACTGATTGCAGTTTACGTCCAACTTTCTTATCTCCTCTTTGAAAATTCGCAATGTCAGTATTTTGTAATTACCTTGATGGTGGTTATATTTGGTTTGTTCAGTAACTTCTGTAGTTCTAGCTGACAAAATTCTTTCTTGGTTGGGAGTGTATACTCTTGTATTTTACTCCCTGATGTGCAACACAAGGTCAAGTGGTTAATCTTTGATGACATGTCAACAGGTATGGGTTGTTCACAGGGAGTCGACTTGGATCTCAGCAGTCATTTGGATATGCTTGTTGATATGCTTTGGAAGGTACATAATTCTTTTTGGGGGCTTTCAACATACAGTGTCTTAGCGTATCACTACAGTACGTTTGGAATCTCCTTGTGGTTCATACAACATCAGTATAACCGCATTACTTGTATCAACATAAGGTGTAATTAGTAGTACGGCTATACATATCAAATACAATAATCACTGGGAGTACTAACTAACAATGGATCTTTTGTCCATGCTGATGAATTATTACCATCAGATGTTTGTCGTAATTTAGTATGAGTTCTAGCTTTTATGTTTTTCATGCTAGGTGCAAGATGCACACGTTCTAATACTATATATATAGGGAATATTATTCAATGTTCTCTCTAGTAGTCCCCTCCAGGATTATTTTTGGTTGATATGTGTGAGCTGCTTACTGAATTACTACCTCTGTTCATTAATTGGCAGTTCAATTTGAGCTGCCAAAACGTCTTACGTTAGTGAACAAAGGTAGTACTATGTTGTACAGCTCTAGTTATGTAAAGCTGTAATATATACTCCCTCCGTCCCAAAATTCTTGTCTTAAATTTGTCTAAATATGGATGTATCAAGTCACTTCTTAGTACTAGATACATCCGTATCAAGACAAATCTAAGACAAGAATTTTGGGACGGAGGGAGTACTTGTTAATGTTAATATGCAGCATCGAGTATTTATTTGTGTATGGAGCTTATTTACTCTTATCCACTTTTTTCTTTGTTGTAGCATCACGACTTGTGGGTACATTGTGGTTCAACTTCTACAAGTGTCATACCAAGACCCAGTCTACCATCTGCTACTGAATTCCCATAGCAAGTATGGAGTTGCACCCTCACAGTAATCGTCGATCCTCTTCTACTAGCCTGGTTAGCTTTATGGTTGGTGTAAAATTTGCTTGGCATGCAGTCATTTATGTAGCGTTTACCTGTTTAAAATGTAGGAAGATCTGAAAACTCATTGAAGGGGGATATGTTCTTCGTACACAATAATGTCCCCTCTGTTCATAAAGGTGCCACAATAAAGGGTATACCAGAGTAGCAATTAGAGAGAGAGAGAGAGAAAATCTTCGTGGAATGGAATGATTTCTTAACGAAATTGAAGCTCCTTCACTTGTTATTGTCTCAAAGGTGGTTTTGTAATTGTACATCAAATCTAATTTCTTGGTAAATGATGGACAGCAGATTCTTCTTTTTTGCGAATACGCAGAAGGCTTGCATATCTTTTCATTGACAGTGCCAGAGAAAGTGCAGGGGATACAAGAGGCGCTACAGGAGTGCGTACAAGAACGCTACGTGAGTGTACCAAGGCAAAATGGTAGAGGAAAAATGAAATAGACACACCAACAAGTCCCTACCACAAGGATATAGCCTAGCATTCTCTTGTCATATTGCTCTGCCTAAATAATGGATGCCAAATAAGCCATGTTTGTTTGGGTTTGAGCTTTGGCTTGTGGAACTTTTAGGCCCCTAGAAGCACAAACCTAAACAAAGAAATTATATGTGTGCTTAGCTTAATAGAACCATCTTAAAAAATGCATTGAGAAGCAAAAAGGCCCTCCAGATCGGCTTCCCACCCCTTCGGCAAAGCTTGCCCTTCAACTTCACTGTAACTACAACCAAAATTTCTCTCGTCTCGCACCCCCACCACATTTTCCTCCTCCGTCCACTCCGGAGGGTGGAGGTCGTGCCTCCCCCAGCTGGATCTCTCCAATGTTCACCTTGCCTCCTCCTCCCCGAGCTGACAACTCGATCTCCTGCCTCCTCCTTGCCCCTTTGACCCAGCACCGCCGCCATCTTCCCTCTCGCTCCGGACCGTGGAGCGCCGATCCTTCCGGATGACAACAAGGACGAGAGCGGTGCCAATGATGTCATGTGTAAAAGATAGGATGCCATCGAGAGCGGACCATGCCAGAGCGGAAGGAGTTTCGAGATAGGATCTGAGTTTGCCCGTCGACGACGAAGAGACGTGACCAGAGGCAACCTAAGCTCCACAATGATGACCCCAAGAGGTTGACGATGCAATGCGCCGCCAAGATACATCCAAGGGTTTTCACCTAGAGCCCTGACGCGGGGAGAGGGATCGCAACGACTACCCCTCCCCCCAAGAGGGGCACGACACCCGCATGCATCGCCGCCGCCGCCGTCGAACGGTGAAGCTTTTGCCTACAGGCTCCCCCACGCCACAACGAGGTACCATAGTCACCATGATCGTCCCCACCTAATCTAACCTCCACAGCTGATTCGGGAGACACCACACCACCACTAGGATCCCCACAACCTCGCTCCTCGCCTTCCACACAGTCAAGGAGAAAAGCCACCACCACCGCCACACTGCTCCCCGTAGAGCAGAGGTGGCCAACGGGCTGGCTAGCCTAGGCACGACACAGCCTAACCTGCCCGTAAACGAGCCTGGCACGACATGGCACGCAAAGCCTCGTTTATAAGTGGGTCGTGTCGTGCCGACACACGAGCCTTGCCTCCGGGGATGTGCATGGTGCATTGACTAAACGGGCCGCCCCGGGCCCATGTGACCTTTATGGATTCTGGGCCTTTTTGGAAATTCTGCCTAAAAGGGCTAAATGTAACCCTAAACGGGCAAAAAAGTGCGCATGCCTGAATGGGCCGCGTGCCCTGCTCTCCTCCTGCCCACCACGTGCCTCGGGCGCGCTTATGCCTAGCCTATAAGAGGTGAAAGGTAGCCTCGCCCACGCGTAGCTCCTACCGTGGTGGGCTGACCCAGTAGGACGTGGGTTCGCTACACTGACGTTGCGCTAAATTTGATTTTTTAAATTGGATATATTTTGAAACCTTAAATTTACTTATTTCTAAAATATGAATTTGGAAAATGTTAGCACAGTATAAAAAAAATCTTAGCACAATTAAACAAATGTCGATAGCTTTAAAATAATGTTCATGAGAATAAAATATGCCTCTATTTCAAAAAAAAGTATGTGAAAATTTTGAAAATGTGTATACAATATACAAAAATGTTCACATAGTATAAATAAATACTTCGTACCATTAAAAGCAATGTGGATAATATTTCAAACAAAACAATGTTTAGACAATGTAAGAAAATGTTTGTGTAGTTTAGGAAATCTTTTATTGCCACTGAAAAAACCACGAGACATTTTAACAGGAACATTCACGTGTTTATGAAAGAAAGTCCGTGAAAGTTCTAAACATGTTTATGCAATGTACAAAAATGTTATCGTAGTTTACAAAAATGTTTATTGCCACTAAAAAATGTTCAGAATGTATTTGTAGAAATTCTAACCATGTATTCAAAAGTGTTCAAAACATACTTTAAGAAATAATTGTACTGAAAAAGTAGACATGTGTTAAAAATGAAAAATGAGGAAAACAGAACAAAGAAACATAAAGAAAAATAAAAGAATACTAAAGTACAACAAAGAAAGAAGAAAACCAGGAAAGAAACAAAGAAAACAGAAGGAAAAAAAGAGAAAGAAGACAAGAAAACCGAAGAAAAACCACTGAATAAAGAAAAATAAACAAAGAAAACAAGAAAATTGATAATAAAAAAAAAGAAAATGAAGAAAAAGGAAAGACAAGAAAGAAAACCCAATGAGGACTGAGAAAGAAACAAAGAAAACGGAGAAAAACAAAAAGGAAAAACTGAATAAAGACCAATGAAGAAACCAAGAAAACCAAAGAAAAAAAGAAAAAAACAAAGAAAACCAGAACAAACACAGCCACCATCGAGCGAGCGAATGAACGCATGAAAATGGCCCGGCCTAAATACTGTAGTGCGGAGGAGAAATCTTCAGACGAGCATACCATACAACTCGCTATAAACAAGATATAGTGGCCCCGACATGAGAGCAACTAATATCAAAGAGCACTCCTTCAGTACCCTTCCAAGGGTCACTTGGAATAGGCTGACTTGACGCGCTCTCAGTCGCCATGTGCCGCGCTCTAGACACTCCTTACGATTTTTATTTTTATTTTTTCACATGCGTTTTTGACTTTTTAGATGTTTTTTTACTTTTTGTTTTTTCTTCAGTCTTTCTTAGCTTTTGGACAAAAAATATATTAAAAAAAATTGTACGAAAAAATGTTTTCTTTTTTTCTTCCACGAGAGGCACAGATTTGCTTTCACGGGAGGCACAGCCCCGTGTCTCTTGAAAACGGAAAAAACGTTTCTTTCGTGAGAGGCACGGGTTTGCTTCTGCCGTGCCTCTCAGAAATCATGATAGGCACAGGTTTGCTTTCGCGAGAGGCACGGTCGTGTCTCTTTTATAAAGAAAAAAAAGCGTATGCTCTTGGTTCTGTTTTTTCGTCCGGTTTTTTCATGAAAAATAATTCGTCAAAACCTATCAACATAGGATGGTGGGCCAGGCCACAAACGCTACCGGGCTGGCCCGCGATATTTGGCCAGGTCTTCTGGAAAGCCCACCACGCGGCCTGCGCCGCCCCGGCATCCGAGAGCCCCCAACCGTTTCTGAAAAGAAAAAGCCCCAACCTCCGCACCACCGCCGGCGCGTCGAAGCCACAACCCCCGCCGGCGCCCCGCACGGCCCCACCTGCCACCAACGAGACGGGGCAAGGGGAAGCAACTCGGAACGGCCTTCGGCCAAGAGGGGAAAGGCGGCCCGTCGGAGGAGGTGGCTCATCATCTGGATGGGATCCATTGCTCCTTCATTCCTCTGGCCCCTCGTCCACGCGCGCGTCCGCCCTCCGCGCCGAGGCACTCAGGGGCAGCCGGAATCCTTCCACCGCATCCCTCGCCCCTCCTTGGCCGAGGTAAGCTGCTCTTTGATTTGTGTAAGGAACAATGCGATACCGATGCACACGCACGCCAACTTTCAGGTCTAACAATTTGGTTTGATATTACCACTATGCAAGTTTAACATCTCCAGGGCGTTGATTCATATAGTCGGGCTTAAAGTACTTTTAGTATAGGAGTATTACTCCACATTGTTAGGTGTAGCTGTGTAGGGATAGAAATTAGCCAAGACAAAACAAAAGTTCCTGTCATGAGCTTTATTTACTATGGGTTGAACCACATTATACATACACCACAAACATAGATTTACCAGTGAAGTGGAAGACAATTCACAACATAACACGGCTGCAACCAAGAAAAAAAAATCCTTATGTAGAGCAAACAAGACGTAAGCCGTCATGAACCAGCAACATGTGAGCAATGAAACAGCTCTACTTCTGCTCAGCCCTGGAGTGCTGAAAATGCTTCTTTGATTGCGATGACCTCAATGTAAACATCCTGCATTGCGGGGCGATCTTTAGGTATCTCCGCGGCGCACAGGAGGCCAATCTTAACGAGCTCGATGATGCAGCTCATTATTCCAGCCATTTGATGATGATTTTCCTGGCCTAAAGTACCTCCTGCTTCTTCATCTTGGTCCCCATAATATGGAGCGATTCTAGGATCAAGAATCTCGCCAATCTTTTCTGGAAATGATTTTTTGACAAATTTGTAAAGGCTCAGGCCATCTTTAAACATCTCATCAGTTGGGCGCTTTCCTGTGAGCATTTCTAAGACGATGACTCCAAAACTGTAGACATCACCCTCAGTGGAGATTTTGCTCCCAAAGCCATATTCTGCAATATGTGTAGTTATTGAAACCGTTAATTAATACAACATAATTTGACCACATGAATCAAAGGTTTTCTGTGGAAAAGAAAGTAAAATTTTCATATCCACAAGAGCCTACAAGTTATTCTCGAAAAATGTACCATGCTCAGTTGAGAAATTGTTACCTGGTGCAATGTATCCAACTGATCCTCTTGGTCCCACTAAGCTTGTAGAACCACCGATGCTCGAATAAGAATAATTGCGTAGGAACTTAGCCAATCCGAAGTCACCAACACATGCGCCCATGATGTCATTTAGAAGGACATTGCTGGGCTTCAGAACACAATGGACCATAGGAGGCATGCAGTTGTTATGAAGGTAATCCAAAGCAGCAGCTATGTCCACTGCTATTGCTAGTCTTGAATATAAACTCAATGGCCTTCTCAGGTGATGCTCGTGGAATGTTGGATAGAGCCAACTTTCGAGGTCGCCATTTACCTTATATTCAAGAACAAGAGCTTTGAACTCATTTCCTGTTGGATCACTTGTTGAGCATACAGTGATCACCCGTACAAGATTACGATGACGCGTGTTTCTCAGGGCCTCACACTCATCGAGGAAGCTCTTTGTTGCTCCAAGTTGATCAAGTTTGAAAACTTTGATAGCAACTTCATGTACTTCGGACTCAATTCTACCTTTGTACACGGACCCATATTTTCCTGAACCAACCAAGTTGTCTAAAGAGAAACCATTTGCTGCTTTCAATAAATCAGCATATGTAAACTTCTGTAACTTTTCAAAGGATGGATGAGCTGCTTGTGTGACTTTCTTTCTCTTTTTCCAAATAATTACTCCGAAGCATGATACCAGGACCAAAAAAAGAGCAGTAAATCCTACTATCTTTAAGATGTTGGAGGTGTGCCTTTGTTTGGATGTTTCTGCATTGCAAAGTGGCAACTGTAGCAATGGGGTGCTCGCACATAGCTTCTTGTTTCCTTGAATGAACACATTGCTTCCATTCTGAAATATTCCATCTGCAGGTACTGATCCTTCGAGGTTGTTGAAGGACAAATTGAGAAGCTTCATAGACTTGAAGAGCTTCAAGAATTCAGGGATTTCACCTGTTAAGTTGTTCTGAGATAGGTCCATCACAGTGATGCCTCTCAAATTCACAAAAGATTGAGGGATTCTTCCATGAAGACGGTTGCCCTCCATGTGGAGTGACTCCAATTGGACGCACTGACCCAGAGTAGATGGTATCTGACCAGACAGTTGGTTATAGGAGATATTCAGTGGACCGAGATTGATCAACTCGGCAATCTCCATTGGTATTTCTCCAGAGAGTTGGTTGTGAGACAAGTCCAAACCTTCAGAAAGGTCGGAAAGAGTAAAGAGCTCCTTTGGTATGCTTCCGTTGAAGCTGTTACAAGAGAGGTTCAATATGTGCAGTTTTTTGCAGTCTCCTAAAGCTCCTGGGATTGGGCCACTCAAACTGTTTTCTTGTAAGTAAAGCTCACTCAATTGACTCAAATTACCAACTGAAAGTGGGATCTGTCCAGAAAATTTGTTCTGGGACAAGCTTAAGACAAACAAGTTGGGAAGATTTCCAATTGATTCAGGAAGATTCCCGGTAAGCAAATTCCGTTCCATGTAAAGAAGCTTGAGGCCTGTGAGGTGCTCTATCTCATGTGGTATGGTGCCAGAAATTTTATTTGATCTTAGTAACAGTACCTCTATGCTCTTTGAAAGGCCTGCAACGGCACTCGGCAAGACTCCTTGAAGGATGTTTGCATCCAAGCGTAAGTTCACCAGTTGTGTGCAATTTGTCAACGAGGATAGGAAAGACCAGTCTCCTGCTTCAAGTTGATTCTTGCCTAGATTCAGATCGACTAGGCTGGGTAAAGTCCCAAAAGATGGAATGCTGCCATAGAATGCATTATTGCGGAGGTTGATCACCTGGAGATTGGTTGTGTTTGCTAGTGAAGTGGGGATTTGGCCTTGGAACCAGTTTCCTTGCATAATCAAAGTTTGGATGCTTGGAAGGGTATATCCAATGTTGTTTGGAAGCTCCCCTACGCTACAAGATTGTTTGTAGCCATGCCAAGGTATGAGAGTGCTGACATGTTGTAAAGAGAGGCTGGGACACTCCCTGTCAAAAAGTTATGTGATGTCTAGTATTTCCAGGTTTTCAATTTCATCTATACTCATGGGGATGTTACCTTCGAAATTATTATCTCCAAGCAAGAGCCAGCGAAGGGAGGAAAAGTTCCCTATAAAGGAAGGTATGGTGCTAGAAAGATTATTTGATTGCAAGATAAGATACTGCAAGGGTGAGTCAATGTTCAACAAGGCTGGTATGGACCCAGCAAAGCTGTTTGTTCCCAGTAATAACTTTTGAAGTGACGTACTGTTAAACAGTGCAGGAGGAATCTCTCCACTCAGGTGATTGTTTGATAAGGCCAAAAGTTGAAGTGAGGAACTATTAGCTAGGAGAGGCGGGATAGGTCCTGTGAGGCTATTGTTCGTGAGAACAACAGAGTGAAGAGAAGAGCTGCTTCCAAGTGAACGTGGAATGCTGCCCGTCAGACTATTTGTAGCAAGACGTAAAACTGCAAGGTTTCGGAGCATCCCCAACCCTTCTGGGATACCTCCACTGAGCTTGTTGTGACCCAAACTGAGCTGCTGCATATCTGAGCATTGGCTCAGGCTTGGGGGGATCACACCATCAAGGGAGTTGCTTCCAAGATCAATAGCTTGAAGGTGAACGCATGAAGACAGAGTGCTTGGGATCCTGCCAGTAAGATTGTTTGTGCTGAGGTTAAGGTACCGCAGCCTATTTAGTTGCCCAAGTTCAGGTGGTATTTGGCCAGTAAGTTGATTGTTGGGGATGTGGATTTTTGTGAGGAAAGTGAGATTGCCGATACATGGTGGTATCTGTCCATCGAGGTCAAGTGACTCGAGGTCCAGTGCAGTGACACGAGATGCATGTCTCTTGCTGCAAGTAACACCGGACCAACTGCAGAATTGCAGCGAGTCATTTTTCCATGAGGCCAGGAGTCCAGCAGAGGTCGTGAGATGGAGTTTAAGGCAGCGGAGAGCATGGAGGTCGGTGTTAGAATCATTTTGGGGTGCTATAGAATCTAATGAAGATGCATAAACAAGGGAGCAGAGGACAAGGACCAGGGGAAGTGAGGAACTGAGAGTGCCCAGAGCCTGAGTAGACATGTAATTTCTATCACACACGCTTCGACAGTTTAGTTGAGGAACGGACTGACGACCGGTCAAGCTCGTGGAACAAGAAGGCAATGGAGAACTCACTTGAGAGCTGCAATGTGCTGTGGTCGTCCTCTCACGACACCCCAGGATGGAGTTTGAGGCACTGAAGGGCTTGCAAGTCGGTCTGAGGATCATTCTGCAGCGCTGCAGCACCTAATGAAGGCGGCCTTGTGTTGAATAATCAACCAGGCCTTCAGCCAATCAAGCATCAGTTTAGATTATTCTTCCAATTCAACTTTGAGATGGTCAAATTACATGATGGTCAAACGGACATTCATATTTATATTCTACTGTACTGTACTGTGTGAAGACGTACTCAAGGCACCACTTGCTGGTGGGGGTTGGAAGTTGGAGTCCAAACTACATAATGATGCATGAATTAAGGAATCCAAATAAGACCATTTCAACTCAGTCACTTAAACTCCCTAAATGCTATACTATAGGAGTCCAAACTCGCCTAAAAATAATCTTCCAACAAGCTGCATATTACCAGTTCAAACTCGGTGAGCACGCGCGTTGTTGCTCTCTCTTCCTCATGCTACAATAGGAGTAGAACATCACATTGGTGTTTCTCAATCTCCACTAGCAATGTGGAGCTAAACTCTGTGCATAGAACAACCAGCCATTGGGTTGGGTTAGGTGGGGGTGGTGTCCGGACTGATGCGGGAGGTTTGAGGATCGGCGTTGGAGATGCCCTAAGGCGCCGATTTGTACAACTATTGAACCAAATTGCACATCCAGGACAGGGAATCCACTTCCACACGTATGTCAGCATGTCAACTGGCATGCCTCTGAGACTTGGAACGAATAGATCACAAGAGCGAAAGAGACATTTCTAATGAATGATGTGGACTGAACAACAGTCGACAGAAGCAAGATCTCGGGCTCTTAACTTGGCGAAGATCCATGCAGACTTTTCCGTGCCATATGCGATAAGAGGCGACGAAGTCCGGGGTGGTTGCACCCTAAGTCACTCTCATGATCCACAGGTTACAGTCAACGAAGATTTTAATTCTCCCTATCTTCTGGCCGCCCCAGTCAGCAGAGTTCATCATGATCTTTCTCCCCCAAGAAAGAAAGGCATACCTTTTGGAGCGTTATATATAGGTGCTGAAAGCATTGCGGCATGGCAACTCACGGAGGAGCGCGTCGCCAATCCGGGAAGATGCTGCCCGACTGTCGCCGCCTGCTTGCTCGGCTTCTCGCCCTCCTCGCGCTGCTGCTGCTGATCGTCGGTGTACATGGCCGTATAGGATTGAACTGCGGCAGTCGTAAGTATGCCGTGCATTCGTTGTTCTTTTAACTTCCCACGCCTGCATGTCGTGTTGAGAATACGTCCTAGTATACTCTCTTTTCAGATGGCCTGATATACTACTACTTTGAACATCGTCGCAGAGAACCCAAACGGCTGCACAGGTCTGCCCTCTCCAGACTGTCCAGACTGTGGATAGCAGCAGGTCTCCCTCCGAAGCATATGCCGACGCCGATGACATCTCAGGATGTTCTGTATCGTTCTACAAGAGTTGATTTTGTTTCTGTATGGTAGTAAGAGAGATATGAAGGTCACAATCATTTGCTTGCTTACGGAATGTTAGGGAAACAAGGATAGCTGAATATAAGACACAATTCATCAATGAGCTTGCGTTGTGAATACTACTACCCGGTCCCATGATGTAAGACGTTTTTGCAGACTATAACATGGCTTGCAAAAACATCTTACATTATAAGACGGAGGGAATAAAAGGCATTTACAATGACTAGTTGCCTTGCAAAAACATCTTACATTATAAGACGGAGAGAGTAAAAGGCATTTACAGTGACTAGTTTAGTGCCCGTGCTTTGCCACAGAACACCAAAGTTATATGTCGCTCATCATAATTGCTGGCTGCAGTCTCTAATCCAACCTTGTTGTCTTGCCACCATTGTAATCAATCCCTCTTGAAACAGGCTTTCGTCCCGCTTTATATATAAAACAACATCCGAAAAAGTACACGGCTGAACGATACAAGATGGTGAGGTGGCGCTCTTACAAAGTCAATCCTAAGATAACCGGCAGAACAGAACGCACGCGACTATACTACCAGCGGAAAGAGCACGAAAAGGACTAAACACACCCCACGCTACGACATAGCACACCTAAGCTCCGTGACAATGCCCCAAGATGGAGAACGGCGCAGAGGGTCGCCGCTGCCGAGTTCACACGGACAAAGATCTTCACCCGGAGCCTTGACACGGAGAGAAGAACCATAGCGACGTCTTCAAGAAGAGCGCGACACCAAGGCACGGAGCTTTCGCTCGGCAACTCACCCGTGCCACCACGAGACCGCTATGAGGAACACGACGGAGTCAGATCCCCAGGTCCGGATCAGGACGCCTCCCTCCGAGAGAGAAGGCGCGTCCGAGCTACCCGTCGCAACACCTCCCGTTGCCCACACAACCCAGGAGGGGAGCCACCCCTACAACAATGATGCCCGCCGAAGAGCAACCATGCGAACCGCCATCCGAAGCCGTCGCCCCGGCATCCCTGTCACGAGATAGCATGCGCCGCTCACATCACAACGCACTCAACCATGTTAGGAAGAGCGACGATAGACCATCTACTCCTAGCCCGGCATCCATCCCCGAGTCTGGGTCGGCGCCTCCATCGTAGGAGGCACCAACACCTGCGTCCCTAGCCAATCCCGATGGACCGGGAGAGACACGACTCTGAGACTGCTGACGGCCGCTGGTGAGCCAACCCTAGCCCTTGTCCAAGCGAGCTCAAACGACGCCATGTCCGTGGTCACCAGCGCCGATCCGTGCACCGACGCAATGCTAACACGACCACTACCATCGAGCAGCATACCCGAGAGGAGACCCGCGAGCACATCCCAAGCCAAGCCTTACCTCTCCTACCCGAAGCACTTGCTCCAATCCGCCATGGGCCCTGACCTGGCCCGCCCGAGCACGAACCTAGATCTGAAGCTACCTCGTCACGCGTGCAGCTGGCACCTCCGGTGCCCGCCCAACCCCGCGCATTGTCGGTCCAAACCCAAGAGAAGGAGGCAGCCACCTGTTGGGGAACGCAGTATTTCAAAAAAATACCTAAGATCACGCAAGATCTATCTAGGAGATGCATAGCAACGAGAGCGGAAGCGTTTAGTAACGCGGTTGATGTAGTCGAACGTCACCTCCGCGATCCAACCGATCCAAGTACCGAATGCACGACACCTCCGCGATCAGCACACGTTTAGCTCGATGACGTCCCTCGAACTCTTAATCCAATTGAGGCTAAGGGAGAGTTCCATCAGCACGACGGCGTGGCGACGGTGATGATGAAGTTACTGACGCAGGGCTTCGCCTAAGCACTACGACGATATGACCGAGGTGTGTAACTATGGAGGGGGGCACCGCACACGGCTAAAAGATCAACTTGTGTCTTTGGGGTGCCCCCTCCCCACGTATATAAAGGGGGGAAGGAAAGGAGGCCGGCCATAGGTGTGCGCACCAAGGGGGGAGTCCTACTTGGACTCTCGGTCCAAGTAGGATTAGGCCCCCCTTTCCTATTCCTACAAGGAGAAGGGGGGAAACAGGAGAAGGAGAGATGGAAAGGGGGCCGCCCCCCTCCCCCCAACCCTAACCCAATTCGGATTGGGCTTAGGGGGGGGGGACGCCTCCACCTAGCCGCAACCTCCTCTCTTCAACTAGGGCACATGTGGAGGAAATATGCCCTAGAGGCAATAATAAAGTTATTATTTATATTTCCTTATATCATGATAAATGTTTATTATTCATGCTAGAATTGTATTAACCGAAAACTTAGTACATGTGTGGATACATAGACAAAACAGAGTGTCCCTAGTATGCCTCTACTTGACTAGCTCGTTAATCGAAGATGGTTAAGTTTTCTGACCATAGACATGTGTTGTCATTCGATGAACGGGATCACATCATTACAGAATGATGTGATGGACAAGACCCATCCGTTAGCTTAGCATAAATGATCGTTTAGTTTTATTGCTATTGCTTTCATCATGACTTATACATGTTCCTCTCACTATGAGGTTATGCAACTCCCGAATACCGGAGGAACACGTTGTGTGCTATCAAACGTCACAACGTAACTAGGTGATTACAAAGATGCTCTACAGGTGTCTCCGATGGTGTTTGTTGAGTTGGCATAGATTGAGATTAGGATTTGTCACTCCGATTGTCGGAGAGGTATCTTTGAGCCCTCTGATACGTCTCCAACGTATCTACTTTTCCAAACACTTTTGCCCTTGTTTTGGACTCTAACTTGCATGATTTGAATGGAACTAACCCGGACTGACGCTGTTTTCAGCAGAATTACCATGGTGTTATTTATGTGCAGGAGAAAACGTTCTCGAAATGACCTGAAACTTCACGGGGACACTTTTCAAAAAATAAGAAAAATACCTGCCAAAGATAAAGGCTAGGGGGCCCACCGTCTTGCCATGAGGGTGGGGGGCGCGCCCCCTACCTCGTGGGCCTCCTGTTGCCTCTCCGACTCCAATTCCACCTCCATATATTGAGTTTTGGAGAGAAAAAAATCAGAGAGAAGAAATCATCGTGTTTTACGACACGGAGCCGCCGCCAAGCCCTAAAACCTCTCGGGAGGGCTGATCTGGAGTCCGTTTGGGGCTCCGGAGAGGGGAATCCGTCGCCATCGTCATCACCAACCATCCTCCATCACCAATTTCATGATGCTCACCATCGTGCATGAGTAATTCCATCGTAGGCTTGCTGGACGGTGATGGGTTGGATGGGATCTATCATGTAATCGAGTTAGTTTTGTTAGGGTTTGATCCCTAGTGTCCACTATGTTCTGAGATTGATGTTGCTATGACCTTGCTATGCTTAATGCTTGTCACTAGGGCCCGAGTGCCATGATTTCAGATCTGAACCTATTATGTTTTCATCAATATATGAGTGTTCTTGATCCTATCTTGCAAGTCTATAGTCACCTATTATGTGTTATGATCCGTTAATCTTGAAGTGACAATAATCGGGATACTTACCGGTGATGACCGTAGTTTGAGGAGTTCATGTATTCAACATGTGTTAATGCTTTGTTACGGTTCTCTATTAAAAGGAGGCCTTAATATCCCTTAGTTTCTATAAGGACCCCGCTGCCACGGGAGGGTAGGACAAAAGATGTCATGCAAGTTCTTTTCCATAAGCACGTATGACTATATTCGGAATACATGCCTACATTATATCAATGAACTGGAGCTAGTTCTGTGTCACCCTAGGTTATGACTGTTACATGATGAACCGCATCCGGCATAATTCTCCATCACCGATCCATTGCCTACGAGCTTTCCATATATTGTGCTTCACTTATTTACTTTTACGTTGCTATTGCTATCATCACTACAAAATACCAAAAACATTGCTTTTACTACTGTTACCTTTTGCTACCATTATCACCACTATCATATTACTTTGCTACTAAACACTTTGCTGCAGATATTAAGTTTCCAGATGTGGTTGAATTGACAACTCAGCTGCTAATACTTGAGAATATTCTTTGACTCCCCTTGTGTCGAATCAATAAATTTGGGTTGAATACTCTACCCTCGAAAACTGTTGCGATCCCCTATACTTGTCCTGAAGATATTTAAGAGGCAAAGAAATCTATGAAAGAAAAGGGTATTAAAGCTGAAGATGTTAAGAATTTACCTCCTATTGAAGAAATACATGGTCTTAATTTACCGCCTGTTGAAGAAACATATAATCTTAATCCTTTACCTATTGAATAAACTCATGGTCTTGATAACCCGACACAGGTAGTAAAGGTAAATTCTCTCTATAGATATGATAAAGCTGTAATCCCATTTACTAAGTTTGCTAGCCCATACTTAGATGTGTTTGATAAATTTATGGCTAACCAAGAAGATTTTAATGCTTATTTTGGTAGGCAATTGAAATACAATTCAAATATGCTTGAACACTTGGGTGATTATATGGCTAATATTAAAGGTGAACTTAAACTTATTAGTAAACATGCTTCTATGGTTACCACTCAAGTAGAACAAGTACTTAAAGCTCAAAATGATTTGCTCAATGAATTGAATAGTAAAGATAATGATAATGTTGTTAGAGTGGCTACTAGAACTGGTAGAATGACTCAGGAACCTTTGTATCCTGAAGGCCACCCTAAGAGAATTGAGTAAGATTCTCAGAGAAATAATTTAGATGCACCTAGCTCTTCTAAAAAGAAGAAGAAGAAGAAAAATGATAGGACTTTGCATGCTTCTAGTGATCCTATTGTTGAAACACCTGAGAATCCAAATATATTTTTATTTCTGATGCTAAAACTCAATCTGGTAATGAACCCGAAACTAGTGATAATGTTAATGATAATATTCATAATGATGCTCAACCTAGTAATGACAATGACATAGAAATTGAACCTGCTGTTGATCTTGATAACCCACAATCAAAGAATCAACATTATGATAAGAAAGACTTTGTTGCTAGGAAACATGGTAAAGAAAGAGAGCCTTGGGTTCAGAAACCCATGCCCTTTCTTCCTAAACCATC